TGCATTTGTTGTTGCGTTTGGGATAGAAGGGCCAGATCATCTGCGAAGTCTATATCGTCCAACTGCATCCTAGATGTCCATTGTATCCTGCGCTTCCCTTCAGACGTTGACGTCTTCATGATCCAGTCGATCACCAGGAGAAAGAGAAAGAGTGAGAGTAAGCAACCTTGCCTAACACCGAACCTGCTTGCATTGTTGCTTAGAGTGGTCAGAAGACTCTGCATTTTGTCAGCGTCTTCACCAAATAAAACTATGTCATCTGAATATTCTAAGTCAACAAGTGAACCTCCCGGTACAAGTTCAACAACTTGAAATTTGGATGAGGAGAGTGTTATCTCTAAAAGTACGTCGACCACAAACCGGCCTGGTTTTCTCTAATCTGCTCTTCACGAGCTTTGATTAGGCGTCGAAGTATTATTGAAGCTAATATTTTAGACACTATATTAGTCAAACTGATTCCTCTCTGATTGTCACAAGAGGACTTTTGTCCTTTCTTATAGACTGGCACAATCAGTGATTGAGACCAGTCAGATGGGATTACGTCCAGTTCCCAAATCCTACCTAAGACCTCGGTTAATCTCATTGCTAATACTGGACCACCATCCTTAAAAATCTCAGGAGTAAACCTGTCAGGGCCTGCTGCTCTCCCTCGTTTCAGATTTCCTATGGCTTTTTCAACTTCGTAAAGGGACGGAGGACCTACATTAACTTGCCATTCAGGTTGACTGGAGATCGTGGGAAACCGAAGTGTGGCTGAAGGCCAGTTGAACTGATCCCTAAAGTGTTCTGCCCATCGATCCAATCTCCTGGATTGAGAATGAATAATATGTCCATCTTTCTCTGAGATTGTTTCGCTAACGGTCGGGTTCCTAATTCCGGTTTCCTTAACGAGTCTGAACAATTGTCTGCTATTACCTATTGACGCTGCCTTTTCCATCTCTCTTGCTTTCGCTACCCACCACTGTTCGCGATCACTGCGTAGACTTCTTGCCAGCTTGTGCTTAAGCTGACTCCGCTATTCATTATGTTCAGAGCCAGGTGGAATGAGTTTCCGAGCATCTATCAGTGCGATAGATGCTGCTGAGACCCAGTGTTGCTCCCTAACCTTCTGATTTACCTTACTAGCAGATATCACTGCTGTTTCCACAGCTTTTCAGATATCATTCCATGCTGCCTCAGGGTGGGCATCACATACATGGCTGCGTCTCCGAAACGCGCATACAGGATCCAAGTAGCGTCATTCATTTGACCTCACCATGCCAAAATAAAGAACCGACTCGATTTACGCTTCGTGTATCTGGAAGCCCTGATTCTGCTTCCCGTGGCCTCGCCGGCGTAGGTATAGCATTGAGTCCTAGGGCAGAACTAGCTCTCTTAGAGTGGATCCCAGTAGACAGTCGTTTGTGCGCTGTCCGACTGAACTAAGCAGTAAGAATCCGGAAAGATAGGGACACTCGTCGTTGCCTCTTCGTCGTCTCTGCCTATTCTCCCACTAACTGCAGCTCAGATGTTGTAAAAGATGAGTTCTACAGAAAGCTTTCGGACCTTCTCCGAAAAGCTAAGCGCTCGGATGTAGTAATAGTGGCCGGTGACTTTAATGCTCGAGTAGGTAAACTAAGCGATAGGGAAAGACACCTAGGTGGATCTTATGGTGTCGTGGCTCAGAGAACAGATAATGGCGACCGTCTGTTGCAGCTATGCTCAGATAACCGCCTGTTCCTTGCAAATACTAACTTTAAACATAAGGAAAAACGTCTTTTAACATGGAGACCCCCTAATTCGTCCCAACGTTGGACCCAAATAGATCACATCGCTATCAGCCACCGATGGAGGGGCTCGATAGAAGACTGTCGCTCATTCTGGAGTACATGCCTAGATTCAGATCATGCTCTAGTGCCCACACCGTGGAAGGGTATTTCTTGAGGAACCTGAAAAGGAAATTGGATTAGTGTTGGTCTTGACGACCTGGTAGCGTGACCGCAGAGCCCAAGGGACAACTGCTTGAGGCCGGTCGCGCACGGCCTTTTTGTGAAAGGTTTCTGACGTGTTAGCTCCGTTCTTCAAAGGGCCTTACCGCCGGAGACGGAAATCCGTGAGGTAAGGTGAGGTGTGACATTTTTAGGGTCGACCTTTTCTAACCCCACCCCTCGTTGTGGGAAGGCAGCATCGCTGTCATGCTGGTTGTCCGAGGGAAACACCTTACTGCTGTCACACCCCTCTACAGTCAGCAGTACGACTTCGCCCTCAGTTCTTGAGTTGCTGCTTTTAGTCTTACCGTTCACCAATCGACCTGCCTGGCATGGTAGAACCTGCAGGAACATATGTTCCAGCCAATATAGCTCGGTTGGGTCATCACGATAGGCAAGCTCGACCACGGCGTCAAGGTAGCAGCTTCGATCGGGCTGTAGAACACATCATTTAACTTAATAGCAGCTGCTTAGCTTATACATTAACAACGCATAACTTCGTACGTACGTACATCGGTTCGAGTTGCTACACCACATTAGCACAGAGATGCAGTTGTCGACTCAAATCCCGTAGTGGTAGAGGTGGCAAGAATATTAGCAGTAATCGGAAACATTAGGGTTTGAGAATAACAGGGGAAACTGAAAATTCAGGATATTAATCTGAGTCCTTACATAGATGAATGAGAGATATTGGAGTTCTCACCAAATCGACCTTATATTTCTCCTGTTGGTATTTTACAAACTTGTGTGTTTTATATGGAAAATAATTTGCAATATTCCAAACATCACAAAATAATATGCTTAGACTATTTATTTCAATGGACAGAGGTATCATGTTTGCAAGTCTGAAACGCTAACGTGAAGACGGAAACTTCCTTAATACCCGCATCTTTCCCATCCTTCACTTGTTTAGCGTCAGGTTCAAGCGTGAGAGTACGATTGCACATTCCAGTCCTAGAGCTTTACCCAACAAACATTCCTTGTATATTTCAGGATCTGTAGGTGACTGTATCCTAAATACAAAAATACTGTAATTGATCTGGACTTGATTTATTGAAACAAGGTCAGAGAAATGACGACTTATCAGCAAGCCGATTTCCGAAGATGCTGACTACTTTATGGAAATTTTAACCGTTAGTGAGAGACTCTCTGATGTACCTCATCAGAATTATGATCATATCTGACGGAGCAAATATGATAGAGAAATGATTGCTTAATAATACTATTTGAATAAATATTAGGAATCTGAGGAATTTAATCAAGAATCATATGTTTTTATAATTTTTATTGTCTGATTATACAGCCAAATTGATATCTTTAATTACAAGGTCAAAATACTTATGTGAATTTTGCTTCTTTTGATCGTACAATTATGTATGTTAACTAATTAGTTAAGAGTCAATAATGAACTTTATGAAATTGTCTAGTGAGTTTATTTTGAATGAGATTTAAATGATATTGAGTTCTATTTCCAAATGTTTGATCATATCCACGCCCACTCTCAACTTTCTTTTCTTTCTCCGTATCTCCGATACAACGTGTGTTGATGTGTTTTGGATAAGAGGCGTGATAATATGAATAATGTCCGGATTTCATTGTAATTCTTATCGACATAGTGACAATCAGAAGAACTGGAAGAGCAGGAATGTATTATTTAACTAAATTTTAAATAGAATTGTTTACATTATTCATCTGTCACTTAGGTTAATTATATGCTTTAGTGATTAGTTTTGTCATGGAGATTAATGATAATATTTTTTACTTAGTTGCTTTTATATTATAATATGAATAATGTCCGGATTTCATTGTAATTCTTATCGACATAGTGACAATCAGAAGAACTGGAAGAAGAGGATTGTATGTTTCAACTGCACTTTTCAGGAAGTTATTATCGTTACATGTATCCGAATGTCATTCTTCACTTATACATTGGCTGTTCCTTTTTTGACATTCAAATTCCAATATTATATCATGTAATCCCCTATTTGTGGTACATGTTGTATTTTTATGATGTATATAATTTCTTATGTTAGCAGATGAAAACAACTGGGAATAATTTTTGAAAATAAATAGTTGGATGTCAGTTCATCAATGAGTCTGACATTATAAATTTTAGCGAACTGAACTACTGGTAGATCCACTTTCAGATATTCACACTTTTATTTTGCCCATCCTCGATATTTTAAAGATCTTTCTCCAATACGGTTAGTAACCGAACTCCTTCACATACTGCATAGAACTAAATATTCTGTTGCTTCTTAACACCAAAAAATACTTCACTCACTAACCATAGGCTTAAGACATATCTTTAATTTATGATATTTAGGCAAGTTTGGTCTCATACATTCTACGAATCTCCCTGTTACTATTTAGGAATGTTTTGATTCATAAAATGGAGGAGAAACAATATGCACCAATTATCGATCACTCAAATAATTAAATAAAGTCGTTTTTCTTTAAAGGTTTCATCCTAGTTACTTACTAACTACGCCTGTTAGCCTTCATAGAACCTAGTTTACCAAAGATGGTTATTTAAAAAAATGTCCTACACTCTCTTGTCCAGTTCTTGTCGAGTGCTGTGTCGTTTTCCAAAGACCATTGACCATGTCTTGTAATTTCATTCTCAACTCCTTCTGTGTAGACTAACACTTCAAGTTACATTTTTTTATGAACAACATGATATTAAGAGAGTTTCTATGTTAATTTCACTTGTTGTTGCAAAATTTAAATATTGAAGCATTCATATCTAATTTCGGGTCTCAATATAAAAATAAAAACAAGATTTTCATAAGATCACAACACTGACTGATTTATTGTCTTGATTTGATTAGAAAAATAATAGGTACAACAAATATCCCGATCGATATCGCCATGGTTACATAATTATCTGTAGATCTGCTAGTACGAAGAAAGGCATTCGTCGAGAGACATATTAAACCTGATACCGCACTAGTAATGCCATTCAATGTACCAAAATAACGTATTGGGAATGCAGACAGAAGAAAGCTAATGAAGCAACTGAATAAGAGTGACCTTAATATAACCAAGAATACAAACGATGCATAAGAAGCTATAGGACTAGGTATAAACATCATTGCACTCAGAGCAACAGCAGAGAAAGCCAAAAGACCTTGTCCTGGGACTAGGCCAAGTGTTAGAGTATAATACATTTTATCGGGATTCGCTAAATCACGTTCGTTGGTGAGCATGTTCTTAATGCTCGTTCGAGCTCTTTTGAGACAGAAGTCAATCATAAGACCAGTAACTGGTGACAGTAAGAAACTCGACATGAAGAATGCTGAGGAAATACTTAACAAATGATCTGCAGTTGACTTGTCAGGATACGCATCATTTATGTGTTTTGCTAAGTGCGATAGGTAAAATGAGAAACGAAACAAACCCAAAGTAAACCAAAGATTAATCAGTAAGTATGATAAAGAAAAAACACAACTTAATAAAGATGGGTAACGTTTATCCAAAATTGAAGATATTTCTCCATAGATATCCATTTCTCCCGAACTTTCAATTGACGTTTTCTGTTACAAAACAAATATAAGAAAGACGAACAATAATAACCGTCAGTGGTGGGAGAATTGTGTTCATATCTGTATTAGATTCTAAGATTTACTTCGACTTCTAAACCATGCATTTCTGTCAAGTTGAATAGATAATGACAAAATAAAACGGAAAATAATACAATGTTCCATCATAGTAAAAATAAATGGGGGACTGTAGAAGATCAGTAAACTACGATGTGCATAACGAGCAAGATTCTGTTATTAGGAATAATGGCATTTCATACCTATAATTGAGATCTTCGGGAAAGCGTCTTCCTCTCATCAAAAATCCGTATTCACACTCAATTGGAATGAAAACAAATTGTATATGGTATATATAACTTGTGACAGATTTCAAACAAACGCGATCTGAGCAAAATAAGGAGTTCGATGATTGTATTGATTTTGTCGCACACTACAGTTTATTAGAATATGTGAAATGCCTACAAAATTTAAGATTCTGTCGATTCCGAAGTCCCGTCATCTTCACTTTTAGTGGTTTTGTTATGGATAGTTTCTACTGCAATTGAAACAAGCAGTTTAGTCTATCCTCCACGTGAAATAGCGCACTAATCATTTCATGAAACTATCATTTTGTATGTCAGAATATGATAAGTTTGAACTAAATCTACGCAGCACGCTTACGTGATTGCACAACTGAGGCTAAACTGACTGGTGTTATTCGTTGAAGTGTTTAGTAGAAGAACATAATTCTAAGTTAAACATCACTGACAAGGTTTACAACACCGAATGTGATTAGATTTTCAATCTAAATATATTCAGACTGGTTGCCTTAAAAACACAAATCTGTGTTGCTGTCTGCAAATATAACAATAGTTGATTGTCACTTACCTCACATAACTTTTCTTCTTCTGTGTTGATGGAGGAGAATTTCCCCATATCTTCAGATTTCTGAGTAAGGATAAAGAGTGCCACAAAACTGCCAACAACTATTGAGCCGCAAGCCAAAATAATAAACGACCATTTGAATGGGAATACAAGATAGGTCAACGACAACACATAAGCTACAACCGAACTTGAGTCGTACGCTCCAGACAAAAGCGATATACAAAGACCACGAAACTGTGGGAACATGGAACTGACTTGATGATTGCATATCAAGCTGCATATACTACTTAAAGCGACAAGTATACCGGCAGCATAGAATAGTGGCACTGTTTCACCAGTTGTAAATGCAAACATTACGGTACCAGTAAAGTATACTACAGCTGCCAGCAGTTTTAATATTCTCAGCCCCACCTTATCCATCAGTATCCCAGCAAATACAATAAGACACATTTGTGACACCATCCAAACCATGAAAACAACTCCGAACATATCATAATGATAAGAGCAGCCAGTTTCCGTACAGTTGTAAGCGTAGACGCCAACTGATTTGTAGACTGTGATGAGGGAATTGAAGCCGTAGTGATAACCACCAAAAAGAAAAACATCGAAAATTGCTAGCGCCAATCCGAGCCAACGGCGAATTTTCGGCGGGAAGACATTATCGAATTTCTGACCTGTAATAACGAGATAATTGGAATAACGCTGTGACAGTAATGATCATTTCTAAGTCTTATGTAACCGTATAAGTATAATTGCTGGAGTGAAAAACCTACGTAGATTTTCTAATGGGTGAACATAAGCGCTCAATGTGTACACAGTCCCAACTTGAATCGGTAAGAAAAGGCTGATACAAACATACAACAGTAATTCGATGTTGACGGTTTTTAAGAATGTTTACGAAGCATTTGAACATTGGTGACAAAAGCTTATACGGCCTGAATATCCTCAGTCAGTTAATCTTGTGAAATATAGGACCTGACACATGTGTGTGAGTCTGTTTAATTCTACATGCCACACAAGAATGGTCAGATAAAATATCATTACGAACATCAGAGTTGTAGAGGCGGTAATAGTGTAAGTAGTGGCAGAAAACACTAGTTGTACATTTGAGATGGTGAGAATGAATTCATAGAATAGATGAGGGATCTCAATAAATGTCTGGAATGTATAAACATCTGCTATATTCATTGATCTTGTTCATTCACTCATGGAGAAGAACAAGGTAGTCGTATTTTTACAAATCGAACACTTGTGTTATTCAAAGTCACATGAAACAAAAGTATAGGGTATTCGAAATATATTGTTAATCATTTGACCTAACTACCTCAGGAGAATAGTGGCAAAGGACATTTGATTGACACTGATCGTTTGCTCAGCTTGTGTATCGTATATTGATAGTATTAGGTCAAAATGTCCTGAACATGATTTACATACGTATGTTTATTGTAAGACTCCAACTCATTAGTCTTTCATCAAAAACTGATATCACTGGTTGTATTAGGATCGTTCAGCAGAGAATGGGTTGTGTAATCATAATTAGTTTATAGGAGAAGTCACCTTCATTTTTTAAGGGTCTTTTATAAATCATTCTAGATAAACTCAAAAAGAAATTCAATTTCAGGACATCATACATCATAGTTACTCTACGTTTACAACTTCATGCTGTTAATTGGATTGTGCCTTATATGTTATCAAATTAACAGATTAGATGATGATCAAATCAGCACTTCAACTGCAATGATAATTGATACGGCACGAATATGTCCTAATATGCTACATATATATTTTTGGTGAACCATAATTTATGGACAACCTTTGAGCGACGCTGAAGTGACTTTGAGAGTGAACAACTTCCAATAAGGTTTAAATGATGGTTATAAAGTAGTTAGAGTTCTCATTTACAGTTGATGGTTAGGGTTAAAAATTAGATTTAGGGTTTTTATCACGAGTTGACATCAGCTATGGTGTCAAAACTCTATTTAGCCAAATGTATGAATGAATTCTGGGCCCAAATTTATGATTTGTTATCTTATATCTGATTGGTTTGTCCATAAGTTATAGTCACTCCATTTTTCTCAGTATATAGAATGTAATTAAAAAATGTATAATTCACGAGTGTTCGTAATTTCTACCAGCAAAATTTGTGAGCGTTTTTTCGCTCCACTAATATTAAGACTTATGGAGCATGTTCCATGTTTTGTTTCTCAATCATTACAGTATTTCACCAACTAATTTATATTCAAATTCGCACAATACTATCGTGTTATTAAAAAATTATCGATCGTCTACTATTTCACGAAAGAATATTTACTTTACTGTTAGTTTGGATATAGATAAGACGTATGAAAAATAAGAAGCCGTATTGACTTACACAATTCCATCTTCTGCACTTTGAGGTGGTGTTCTCGTTGTTTTCGTGGTATTTATATTATTAGCATACTTAAACACAACGATTTCTATTGCCCTTTTTATTCAACATCCAATAACTCTGTGACCATCAAATAGTAATTATTTGCTTTAAAAGAATGAAACTCACTATAGGGATTGCGAAACAATGTATATAGACTGTATCAACCTCACTTTGATCAACAACAATGGTAGAGTTCTCTCAAAGACAGTTAATTAGTTTTTATTGGATTTTACGTCCGTTATTTTTTATTCCTCTGTTCTGCTCCCTGATTTACGTATTACAGTTTCAGCTCAAAATGATATGAGACTAAGTAGGCTCTTTTTACTCCTGCCAGTGTTGTTCTTTCTGTTGATACGACTTACTTTTTAGGAGCATCAACACAGGGTGCTTCAACACTCCATTCGTTCACGACTAGATGAGGCAGTCGATAGTCAGCTGACATAATATTTGTTCTTGAATGGCGATTTTCTTTGGAGAATTCTCAAACTCTATTTCCCGAAAGACAAGAAAAATAAGGCTAGATTAGATTCATACTTGTCACTCAGTCAATCAGTAACATTTGATTCTTCTATTTGAAAAGTTCAAAAGATTTGTTTTAGCTAGTCTATGGTCGAACGGGAGGTCTGTGATCCCAGTAGTCAGCTCAGTTGCGGCTCGTCGAATCTTCTCAAGCAGCCTACTGTCTCCTTTTAAGCACCGGCTAGGCACTCTTGTGCGATGCTATAATTCTGTGCGATGGAACATTCCATACGAAGTCGAAAATAATTCACACCGACATGAGTACATACTTTACGTGCTGTCCATAGGGTTACAAAACTTTTGGTGGCTTTCTCATGTGCAGGAGTTTTGAGTCTTTGCTGACGATGACTCCAAGATCATTGTGTGTTTAGAAAACAATTAGCTCAATGTTATTCATGGTGTACCTTGGAGACCGATATGCACCTTAATGCGCTTGGAAGCGTTTATTATCAACCGCCAAGTTCTAGGTCATTTTGAATCTCTAAACCATCGCCTTCAATTTTTATCACTCACCATCGATGCGTAACAAGGCCAATCGTTATAGAAGACTAGGACGTTTGCAACAACTCAGGTTGATTGATCTGGGATTGACCTCGAACATCCAAATATACGTTTGCACATTAAAACTCAGTTATTCATTCATCTTATTCTCTATAGGGATTATATTTCCTACTATCTTATAGTAAGTGTTGAAATGCTGGTCAGGTAGGTCTTTTGTCGACTCACTGTCATGCTGAGAGCGTGTCCTAGGATATAAGCTTTCATAATCCTCAGCCATCTGAAAAACAACTGACCTGTCTAGGCGATCAACCTTTGGTTATTCAACTAGTGTTTGGGAAACTGAGTTTGCTTTCACGACATTAAGTCATTTCTTATTCTTAATTTATACCCATTCATTTTATTTCACTAGATTTGCGGTCTCTATCGTGTTATAAACACGGTGAAATCCTGGGTAGTTCCTTAAAGCTAGAGTTATCAGGCTTTCAGTTCTCTTGCTATAAGAAGATCAAGCATTGTGACCAGGCATTACTGCTTTGTTTCATTTATAGAAAGCGTCACAGAAGAAAACTTTCTTGAAACGATCGATTCTTATGTCATTTGGAATAACTTTGCGTCTTGTTGTGTATCAGCTGTGTGAGTGTCATACGATGCACCTCGACTACGCTTCATAATACGTCTCCTGGCAGCATTCACCATTGCAATGGCTTTGGACGGCGAGCTTGTTTGCTTACAAACAGCATTACTGATTCAACCACAAGCAACGATTTTTACTGAGGCATTCGAAAGCTACAGGCATTAGATTAGTCCAAACTTGTTGGTAGCACCCATTGCATTTATAGCGATGCATGCATTTTACTCCAGGGTATCGACAGCCTGAGCGCCGGTAGTTCCGTTTTGCATTTCTCAGTCATCAACCAGACATAAAAAACACTCAGACAAAGGCTGATTGCTAAAAAGAGTGGAAAACCGCAAATTGTTAAACCCTAAACTTTAGGAAATAAAAAAACCGTACCCATAAAGTATATATGATAACCAACTGTTGAAAAAATGATACTCCTAATATTGCTTAAACCGAAATAAATTCAGTCACAGTGAAATTGGATAACTTGTTGCGTAATCAACAATCAAAGGTGTAAATTTAACCTTATTTGATAAACCCCTGTTCTATTTAAATAGCGCTCGATGTAGTTCCAGTGACCAACTAATAACACGTCTACAGGGGGCTGTTTGATGGAATATAATAGTTGAATAGGGCACAGGACAAAGTGTAAATATCCGGAACTGTCCTTAAATTGAAGTCAAATTTCAGATACTAAATATAGATTACACACTTACCAATCGATGGGTCACCAATGAAGATTTATCCTCCGGTCAGTAAAGCGGTTCCCTGGTAGTGTCACATTTTTTGAATGCCTAAGGTACGCGATAGATCATGTTGATGCAACCTACCATCCTTAGACAGACGAAATCAGTGATCATTTCCCCAACCCAGTACCCAAAATCTTTCACATTATCCCCTACAACACTTTTATGATGCACTTCCATCCTGTTTTGAAATCACTCAAATTATCATCCTAGGTGTGACATATTTAGGATTTTCGAATGTGGTTCTTTGGTGCACTCTAGGAATTTTCAACTAACAGTTCGTAATTAAACATGCTGTACTGCTATTCAAAGAGGTGAGTTGTAGACTGGCTTCGGCTTAATTTCTAGCACAGTCGTTCTCATCTTGCTTTTAACGTTACCCCTTAGTCACAAGTAGTTGATACACAAGTAGGGCGGTAGAAAAAGGAATGTTCGCTGTCTGTCCATTGCACCAACGAAATGAAGCTTTTAATGACGTGCCGGAAACCCACCAAAATATAATATCTTTCTGGGCACATATAACATGGGTGTCCGTTTTCATCCTGTATAGATATTAACAACTGCTTTCATTAACCATATAAAAACAATCATTTATTCCTGACAAATATAATTTACATTGGGCATCCCAATTAACATGCAAGATCAAGTTGTTACTAACGCCATGTAATTTATTATGTTAAACTCATTCAACTATCTTCGGCCTGCCATAAAGTACGTTTTCCTGCAGAAACAAGATAACTAAATAAATATTAGTGCATATACAGTCAGTTTTCCAATAAATGTTGAAATGTAAGCCTAAAACGTGACACATCATATGAGCATCGCGTTAGAAGGCTTGAATATTGGTAGTTAGTACTCCGGGATAGATACATTGTACTAAACAAGAAATTCGCTTGCATTTTCGTCTTGGAATTATAAATAAAAGCATAATTTTGACTCGTGTTCTCGACATGTTGTCCAGATGTTGTACTTCGAAAATGTATACGACGTTTACAAATGTAGCATTTTGAGCATCGTTTATTTCATCTTGATTATATGCAGTGGATTGAAAGACCATTACTCTCATCTTGTGATACTGTATTGACCAAGAATATTACCAATAAGAACTATTACTGCAGGAATATCACATGCAACTCCTCAGGTCTAAGATTTTTGGTGACGTACGAAAAAAGAATATCCCATATTTTTAAATATTAAGAAACCTACCAAACTTCAGTTAGACTTGTATGCCGAGGAATATACATGTATTCATCCTTTTTGTAGTCGCCCAAACATGCACTGTTGTGTTTTATTTGGATGCCAACATTGCCGACTGGTAAGGCCAATAGTGTGTTATGATTTGGATCGTGTTTGCTATGACATTTATCTGCTGGGGCTCTTCAGTCACCCTGAACTTCGTTGAGCTCGGCGCAGAATTATCGACCATCGATGTTAGTTGAAAACCAAAGGCTGTGATGTTGGGATGATCCCAACTTCGTATTTTCTGTGAAGGCTGTACTTAGCATGGTGCTAGATGTTGTTGATAATGTACTCGTCAAATTTTTTCGGTCCCAGAAAGTTGTCCAGGCATTGTACTGATAGAGAGGTGAGTGAAGTATCGTCACGTCAACCTAGGGTACTTTCGTAGAGGGTTCCACGGTATTCAAGGTGCCAATCATCTAGTTGAGTGGTCAACAGCCTCTGAAATCTTAGGGATAGCTCAGTCGTACTGCTACAAGTTAGATCATTCCTTCACCTACCAATAATCTAAGAAATGATGCTTTGTTCGGATGAGTTACTTCTGAGATCCTTCCTTATTTATGCACATTTATATGAAAGTTAACATATTATGGTAGAATTCGATGTAGTTGTGCTCCCGTCTGCTGACTTCTTGGTCTGTTTTTAAACGCTCTTCAAACTGGAAAATCCTCAGATTTTCGACCATAATTCTAATTTACAAAGGAGATGGAGTTGGCCTGTTTAGTCTCGGTCATAAAAATCTCTCATGTAATCTTATGTTTGCTGACGCCTACTGACTGATGGATTCGCGTTCTTATATACGCCTGTTACTCCTCACAAGGCATAGAACGCTGAAATTTGTTTGGATAGTTACTACACGATCATGATGCTTGGGGTACAATATAACTCCCCCATAAACAGTGTCAAATGCTTTTTCATAGTCAAGTAACTTTATGTATATCAAGTGATTCCATTCAATCGATTGTTCAGCAGTGACCCGTATTATCGCGATTCGTTCGGCACACGATTGATTTATATGGAGTCTAGCCTCTTGGTTTTCAAGATGTATGTTTACATAATCTTTCGTTCAACCCAACAACCTGTTGAAAATCTTTCCTGATACTGATATTTCAGTGATGCATCTTTAATTTTCACACTTGCCGAGGTCTTTCTTCACTGAACATTTGAGATATTTTTTCTCAAGTCCATCAGTACTTTTCCTTTCTGCTGTGTTCGAAGAGATTACGAGTTCACTTGATCTGTGAACGGAACGAGGACTCAGCGACGAAATTACTAAATCAGCCAACTATTCCGATTCGTCCCCGCCCGCTAACTAGAGAGAGAAGTCCAGGTTCAAAATAAAGAAGTATATTTCACCAACTGTCAGAAGCATGAACAACAACAATAATCACAACTCAAGCGTATACATGGAGCATAAAAATGTGTTTAGGAAACGTCACAAAATAGAATAATAAAAGGGACGACGAACCTATAGCATTTAACGTCCTCTG